AGATCACGTGATCTGTGTGCGGTGCGATCGGAGCTGTACACTCTGTATGACTCTAATCGCACCGCACCAAAAACATGCAGGACCCTTTTTTTGGGTCCACACTAGAATCGGATCGCATGGCTATTCACACCTATGAGATCCGATTCTGCACATCGCAACGCGTTTTGCAGACCGCTTTTGGGGTGTTTCTAAACATACACACCCGCAGTGGTTCGCGTGAACGGGGTGTGATTCTGATGCGGTGCGAAATCCGCTGCAAATTCTGCACCTTCCCTCCTAAACCTTGTGGATGGCCTTCCCAGAAGAGTTGAAGCTGTTATAGCTGCAAAGGGCGGGCCAACTCAATATTGAACCCTACGGACTAAGACTGGGAGGCCATTATAGCTCATGTGCGTGGAAAGGGCGGGGCCAACTCAATATTGAACCCTACGGACTAAGACTGGGAGGCCATTATAGGTCATGTGCGTGGAAAGGGCGGGGCCAACTCAATATTGAACCCTACGGCCTAAGACTGGGAGGCCATTATAGGTCATGTGCGTGGAAAGGGCGGGGCCAACTCAATATTGAACCCTACGGACTAAGACTGGGGGGTCATTATAGGTCATGTGCGTGGAAAAGGGCGGGGCCAACTCAATATTGAACCCTACTGACTAAGACTGGGAGGCCATTATAGGTCATGCGCGTGGAAAGGGCGGGGCCAACTCAATATTGAACCCTACGGACTAAGACTGGGAGGCCATTATAGGTCATGTGCGTGGAAAGGGCGGGGCCAACTCAATATTGAACCCTACGGACTAAGGCTGGGAGGCCATTATAGGTCATGTGCGTGGGAAGGCGGCGGCCCAATACTTGGGGCAATATAGTGTATGCAGGGGCGGACTGACAACTCATGGGGCCCCCGGGCAATAGGGGATCATGGGGCCCCTGTGTCCTTGCCCAAACTCAAAAAAGCCTATGAAAAAGGTACCAGGGGCATCTCATGGGGCCCCCAACTAACCCCAAGCCCTCGGGCAGTGCCCGAGTTTCCAAATGGTCAGTCCGCCCCTGAGTGTATGTAAATATAAGATATAATATATAAGTAAAATATAAAGGATGAGGTTGCACCGAGTGAATAGATACCCAACAAGTCAAGCCTTAAAATTGCAACAAACTTCACTACCCTATATTTTCCAAAGCTACGCTTTAGGGGCCCCTACGGGTCATCAGTTTAGAGTTAACCTTGAATATCGGGCCAATAATTATCACTCTCACTCCAGTGTGCGCAACAATATGTAACACATGTAGCTCAATCGACTTTTTTTTTGCGCAGGCCCTCCCGACGCGTGTATCTACGTTCCTACATACATCTTTATGGGGTTGGGGGGTTTTCAGTGCTTTAGTGTGACTTTTTAAAAATTATTTTTAATGCGAGAATCCAATGGAAATTAAGAGAGGCCGCAACATTTGGGCAATAAAACAAGATAACAATGTACAGCTTGGTGAGGAGATAGCAGCACTGGGTCCGGGGTGTGAACGGTAAGAAGTACTTGGACGGACGGCAACCGGTAGAAGAAAATTGGGGAGTCCTCAGTCAATAGATTAGAAAACATATTATGGGTTAAGTGGGGGGGGGAGGGGGGTTAATAGTTTGGTACCACTGGATGTATTGGAAACATTGTACTAAGGGAAAGTTTCAATTAAAGGATTTGGACCCGTAGTCCTTACTTAAGGAGGTCTCCAGCCATTCCATGCGGAAAACATAAGATAATGTAGCCATGAACAGAGAACTGGTGGGGGGGGGGGGTCCAGGTAAATCCACTGATGAAGATAAAAGCATTCTGTGCCACAAAGGTCATAACAATAGAATGTTGTTTGAAGCCTCTCGATAATTTGATACCTTGGATATTGATTAAACCAAAACGGGTCCATTCGGGGGTTAAGGATGGAGGTAGTTTACCAAGTCTGCTAGAGCACTACTGAGTGCCAAAAACGTTTGATCTCGGGACACGTCCAAATAGCATGGTACTTGGTACAAGTTGTGCTTCGGTATGACTTTTTTTTTCATGAGAAAGAGTTAAAAAAATTTCCTCTAATTTTTTTTTGGTGACGGGTTCTCTTTAATGAGACATCAGGGGTTTAAAAGAGATGAGATGAGGTTGGTGAGATGAGATGAGATTGGATTTATATGGTGCCAACAGTTTGCTCAGCGCTTTACAATATAATGGGAGACAATGCAGCAACAATACAGTTCAATACAAGAGGGGTAGGCCCTGCTCCTTGGAGCTTACAATCTAAGAGATGAGATGAGGTCGGTGATGTAGCTTAGGTTGGTGTGATGTAGCTGAGATGAGGTGAGATGAGGTTGATGATGTAGCTGAGATGAGGTTAGCGAGATGAGATGAGGTTGGTAATGTAGATGATATGAGATGAGATTGGTGAGATGAAATGAGGTTGGTGATGTAGCTGAGATGAGATGAGGTTGGTGAGATGAGATGAGGTTGGAAATGTAGCTGAGATGAGATGAGATGAGGTTCGTGAGATGAGATGAGGTTGCTAATGTAGCTGAGATAAGATGAGGTTGGTGAGATGAGATGAGGTTGGTGATGTAGCTGAGATTAGGTTGGTGAGATGAGATGAGGTTGGTGAGATGAGATGAGGTTGGTGATGTAGCTTTGATGAGATGAGGTTGGTGAGATGAGATGAGATTGGTGATGTAGTTGAGATGAGATGAGGTTGGTGAGATGAGATGAGATTGGTGATGTAGTTGAGATGAGATGAGGTTGGTGAGATGAGATGTGGTTGCTGATGTAGCTGAGATGAGATGAGAAGAGGTTGGTGAGATGAGATGAGCTTGGTGATGTAGCTGGGATGAGATGAGGTTGGTGAGATGAGATGAGGTTGGTAATGTAGCTGAGATGAGAAGAGGTTGGTGAGATGAGAGGAGGTTGGTGAGATGAGAGGAGGTTGGTGATGTAGGAGGTGAGATGATGAGATGAGGTTGGTGAGATGAGATGTGGTTGCTGATGTAGCTGAGATGAAATGAGAAGAGGTTGGTGAGATGAGATGAGGTTGGTGATGTAGTTGAGATGAGATGAGGTTGGTGAGATGCGATGTGGTTGCTGATGTAGCTGAGATGAGATGAGAAGAGGTTGGTGAGATGAGGTTGGTGATGTAGCTGAGATGAGATTGGTGAGATGAGGTTGGTGATGTAGCTGAGATGAGATGAGGTTGGTGATGTAGCTGAGATGAGATGAGGTTGGTGATGTAGCTGAGATGAGATTGGTGAGATGAGAAGAAGTTGGTGATGTATGTAACTGCTGAGATGAGATGAGGTTGGTGATGTAGCTGAGATGAGATTGGTGAGATGAGAAGAAGTTGGTGATGTGTAGCTGAGATGAGATGAGGTTGGTGATGTATGTAGCTGAGATGAGATGAGGTTGGTGATGTAGCTGAGATGAGATTGGTGAGATGAGAAGAGGGTTGATGTGAGATGAGATGAGGTTGGTGATGTAGATGAGATGAGAAGAGGTTGGTGATGTAGCTGATGTAGGTTGAGGTATGGGTTGAGGTAGGATGGTTTTGTATGCCGTGGTTAGTGTTCTGAATTCTATACGTTGGGTGAGTGGAAGCCAATGGAGAGGTTGGCAGAGATAGTGATGTGTGAGGAAATTGAAGGGGTAAGTTGAGGAGCAGAGCGATAGATTTGAGAGTCATTGGTATAGTGATGGTATTGAAAGCCATGGGAGGCTATGAACTGGTCCAGGGAAGAGGTGCAGAGAGAGAATAGAAGGAGACCAAGAACAGAGCCTTGGGGAACCTCAACAGAAAGATATAGAGAAGCAGAGGTGTCACGTACCCCAGGCTTGGAGACCAATAGCTATAACAGTAGAGAGGTTCCCACCAACCAAACTATACAGGAAGGTCGCCCTGGCGGATGACACAGGCTCACCAGAGGTGCAGGGTCTAAGCCAGGGGCAGACTGACTATTTGGAAACTCGGGCACTGCCCGAGGGCCCGGGGTCAGTAGGGGTCCCCATGAGATGCTCCTGGTACCTTTTTCATAGGCTTTTTTGAGTTTGGGCAAGGACACAGGGGCCCCATGATCCCCTATTGCCGGGGGCCCCATGAGTTGTCAGTCCGCCCCTGGTCTAAGCACTAACCCGTATTCACCAGAGCTCCTGATGGTGGAGAGTTTTTACGGTGTGTTAGCACCAGGTAACGGTCCTCAGGGTCACCCTACCAGGAGGTGAGCAAGTTGGGGTCCAGTAGCAGATACAGCATAGCAGGTTGGGATCAAGCAGAAGCATAGTCAACGAACAAGCCAAAGGTCGGTAATGAGCGTTAGCGAAGATACGGATAGCAGGAGGAGTGACAGGATATTGGCTGGAGAGGGCACAATAATTTAGCCAACAAGATGTGCAAAGGAATGGCTAAAATAGGAAGTTTGGAGGAGGAGGTTCAAGGTTTACCAGAAACAAGGTCCAAGGAGTTGTCCAGTATCTCAGTCGGCTCAGCAATAAGAGATACTGCCAGGCACAGCAGAGGTTGCAGGTTCAGATCCGGGTCCTGACAGGCGGAGACAGAGTTGTGGGTGACCCTAAAGGGTGTGATGAGGTAGGTAGGAGATTTCAGTGAACGAATTGGTTAGCAGTTCTTGTTTTATGCATTCTGTATGACCGCTGATTGTGACAATGACAACTACAAACACGATTGTGATGAGCCGAATAAAAGGACGGACTGTACAGCAGACATACCGTCCTCGCTGATTGATTGTGTACTTCTCTGCTTTGTGTAAAATAAATTTTTTCATGACAAGTAAAAAAAAAATGTTTTTTATCTTTTATCCCGGGTTCAGACTGATGTGATGCGGAATTCGCAGTGTTTTCAGTGCGAATTCCGCACCGCATCAAAATCGCACCCCTATTCATGTGAACCGCTGCAGTATGTTAAGTTAACCGCTTCCCGTCCGGCCCACGTATATAAACGCCCGGATGGTGGCAATTGCAGGAGCGGGTTGCTGTTCATAAATGGCGGCCACCATTTTGGACTATGCATGCTCCCTGGGAGCGTGCGGCACCGCAAACACCGATTGCTGCACGGGACCTCTGTGCGAGGGTCCCTATCATGTGATCACTGATTGGCCAATCAGTGATCACATGAACAGTAGTAAGCAAGATGTCACTTCTGCCATCATTGCTTACTACGTGTGAAATCTGTGAATGATCAGAGATCTCATGGTACAGGGCCATTCACAACAGCCTTGTACCATGTGACAAGCTGTGACCAATCACAGTTCACACAGTAGTTCTCAATGGCTGCAAGAATGCAGCCAGAGAGAAGGAGAAATGATTGCTT